CATCTTAAACATTCAGAAAGTCCTTTTAGCATAATTAAAAAGATCAAGAGGAGATAAGATAAGATATAAAACCTAAATATCACCAGAAAGTCCAATGCAGTTGGTAGATTTCTGATAACTACCAGGATTGTGTCAATTATGTTTACATTAGTTACCTTTGGACTAAAGGTGGCAAAGAACTTGATGTGTGGATGAAACTCCTCTGCTGCGTCTTCATATTCATGGTAGTCTAAAAATCACAAGACCACAGGTGAACTTCTCAAACAGTTTATACGTGGGGGAAAAAAGCCCATTGCATGGCCCATTTGGATACATACGCTCAGATTTCTGACTCTTGAAGAAGCCCACCAGCTTGATATCCTCCTCAATATTATGGAAACCTTTCAACTCTCGCACATTGTCAATGATCTCAACTGGATCCTCAATGACCTGGGAAAAGAGTTGATTAGAATGGGGGGAAATGACAAGAAGTTGACTCCTGACACTGAGGACTAAGCGTGCATGTGCAAGAAGGAGAACAAGTCGGCGAAAAGAAGTGCAGGTAGTAAATAAAAAATGTGAAAGAAAACAAAAACATATAGTAAAGAATTGCTGAATTATTTGAGACCAAACTGTCCATAACAAGCACCAGGTATAAATTATTTTTCACGTACATCAAACAGGAACTCCACCAGTGTGTCTGCAGCAAGCTCTCCATCGTACTCAATGACCTCGTCCTCAATGAAGATGTAGATACTGTCAGCCTCATCCAGACCTGAAGAGGAATGGAAATAAACCTGTGAGAACCATGAGGGAAATGTCCACCAGAGGTCATGGTTGTTCTTCTGCTGATATCCTAAAGTTTAACAAGTAATCTGTACCAGAGGAATAAATAAAGCATGAAATAAAGCCTGAAACAGGAAAAAAAATATTTGGAGGATTTTCACCAGAAAACACACAATCAGACGCAATTTAACTTCAATGAAATGTCAAAAAAATTACCTTTGACCTAATGTCATAATATTTCTTCCACTACTCTACAGTAACAGACATGGACTTATTTACAGACTAGACAAACCAAAACACACCAACAGTATCTTCCACTGAGTAGATTATAGATAAAAATCAAATTTAGGTTAAGGTTTTGTGTAAACAAAAATGTAAAAAAAAATTTAATTAATTTTTTTTGCAGTGTAAAAGATTATTTTTTGTTAAAAATTTTACAAATATTCCACTTAATCCCTAAATTAATATTTACATTGAGTAGATCACATCACATTACAGTTATGGTAATATTTGAGTGTTTCTTGAATATACGTAGGCTACCTAATTTCTTGGCAACAGCTTTGTCTGTCTTCTCATCGAGTAGGCCGATTCCGATGTCCTCATCGTCAAAATCCTCCAGGACTTGTGCAGCAAGCTGTGTAACAAAAAATATAATATAATAAAAAATTATGTCCTACAGCTCCTTTAAACAGCATGTGTGATTTAGTTTAAATGTTTAAATGCATGTTAGTGGTGTCCTAACATATACCCAGTTCACATGATATAACTCTTAAGAGGGCAGTTCCTGTTCATTTGGAAACACTAAGGTAAAATGACTTCTTGTTTTAAGCTCATGAGGGTTTGTGTCCTATCAGCATAGCTCTTATGTATTCATTATCAACCTGGTTTTGGTAACTGAGTACAAACACAGCGTGTTGGACAAGGACAGCAAATTTGTTTTCTGCCTGCACAGATATTTCAGGCTATGCTGTAAGAACTGTGGCTAGTTTCGTCCACAGTCTTACATCCATAAAAGCAGTCATCAAGAGTGCTGCCCCTGCACTTTCTAAATTGGTGTGAAACTTGACCCGTATGATGGACAGCTGCTTCCACCAATCACAGCGCTACATGTGCCTGCTGAGCTGGAGTAACAGCGTGCTGGCGTGCTGACAGGTGCAACCAATCATTTCTCCAACCACTGTGAAGAACCAATTCCTATACATACTAACACATATCTCACTTTGAGAAAATTGTCAAATTAAAATGGTTAGTAACTTGTTTGACTTTGTTTCTTCCATGCAGCACAAAAGGAGAAGCAATGTGCTGGTTGCTCTTCCCTATGCAATTACTATACACTGGGACTGAAGTCTTTAAGCTTCATAAAATAAAATAATAATAATAATAAGCGGCATAAACATATCATAAAGGATTTTAATATCACATGCACGCAGTATTTAAAGTCTTTTGATGTCATGTGACAGCTTTGTATGAAAAACAGACTAAATTTTAAGTCATTATTCACTGATAATGTTCCTCTCAAGCAAGCTGTTAATGCATAGATATCTATACGCAGATCCTTCATTTGACTAGTTCACATATGTCAACCATAGACTGTGATGTCAACACGTCCGCCATCTTGGCACGGTTAACATTTCAGATGCTACTAAAGACTTCTGCAGATCCATTATTTCGGATAGCTTATGTAATGTACCTTAGGTGACATCTTCTTAGGTATCTATGCATTAACTGCCGTGACCAAATCAAGCCAATAAATGAATCAGAATGTATCCGCCAGATAAATAATGATTGAAGAATTGTAAATTGCTATTTCTCTAATTAACATGCCAAGGTGAACTTTTTAAAATAATGAATTACATTTACAGTCTGAAACTTGGAATATAGTGCATGAATTTTATGGATGTTTCTGATATTTTTATGGTGCAACTTGAAACCTTCCGTTCTCATTCACAGTAATTGCACGGGGGAAAAAAGACAACGAAAAATGTTATCCTTTTTGTGTTGCACAAAAATATTAATTCAGGTTTGGAGCAAAATGTGGGTGAGTAAATGAGATCATTTTAATTTTGTGGATGTACATTCTAACTGCCTGTACAAGTCATTTAAACTTACATTTTATTAAACTGACTTGAAATATCAAGTTGAATGTCCCATAGCTTTGAAATTGGTTAAAATTAATTTTGATTATTTAAATAATGGAGCTAATGGAACTACTGGAAGTTTTTTAAGGTTTATCCAAGTGTTCTATTTATCTGTTAACATTAAATATGCTGTTCTTCCAGTTTGTTTGTAATATTAGCATCAATATTTTAGAGATAAAATTCTTATTAAAGAAGTTAGTCTGTATTAAAGTGCCTTATAATAGGATAATGCTTCACAGATGTTCTCATGGTTTTCCTATGAGTTTAGTCCTATGCATTAGTGCAACACACTAGTTTTAAAAGGAGGGGGATGTATGTCTGTTAATCAAATCTTAGGCTAAACTCAGCTAAAGGCTTCAGGCCAAATAGACCATGGCTATATAAGGTGACCCACAAAAGCCATGAGTCAACAAGAGAGGATTTTTGCAATGAATCTAGATAGAGCTTGCTAACGACAAATCAGAATCAGGATAGAGGAAGAAGGAGGAGATGTTTAATCCAATACACAGCCACGGTGTAATGCACCCTTCTTCTTCCTCTTTACATCTCTCCATCTCACATAGTCATACCTTCATATCTTTTCAATTCAGCATATATTCGCTAATTCAGAGATGTGATGAAAGATAACTAAATCAGTAATAATAACAGAACTGAGAACACAGTATCATATCTATAACTAGGTTTACTCAGAGGCCTAAGGAATGTTTATAAGTCAACACATTAGTAACCAACATTTGTAAAGGAAATTAAACCAGAACACCCTGCGCTGGTTGGTGTAAATGAAAGTGTTTCTATAAGGGCAGAAAGCAGATCTTCTGTTATGGAGCATCACAGCGGCCTGTACCACACAAACAGCAATGACAGCAGAGCCGACTATAATTAGCGCTGCTGCAGAGACCAACCAGGACTATTTTGGCAAAGTGGTGGTGACGTTCAAGTTCCTGGGATCCGCTGACAGGTACAGTACTGTGCCCAACACTCGGTCCTCTCAGCCGACACTGCAGATTTCATGCTAGAACCTCCTGAATCCACACAGCACACAAGCTGTTATAAGTTATTATAACTCCCGTAACATTACATCAGTGCTGGACTGCTGTGTATTAGGGAGCAAAGCCACATACGCAAAAACCCACAGCTATTGGGCCTTTAAACGGGGAATTTTTACAGAACCTATTACCCTCGTATTATAGGCCTATAAAAAAAAAGGTTGTGCATAATGCATGGCTGATAAATTATATTGGACAATGTTAACAAAACTGTTAGACAAACTGGTTAGACCAGTATGAGGGTCAAATATTAATCCTCAACACATTAACCACATATATTAAATGACAAAAAACAATAATAATACAAATAATAATCATTTATTATTATTATTATTTAATTGTCATTGTTTATTTATTTTAACAACAACTATAATAATAATAATAATCCACTAAATTAAAAGGTCAGGCGATTGGAAGTTCTGGCCCTTCTCCGAAAAAACACAATGTCCAACACAAATCCGTCAGTATGCCACTTATTTTATAACTAACATCAAAGATTTAGACATACGGTTACTCAAATGAGGTAATCCCACACGACAAACACAATATATCAATATCTGTTGTTTCTTTAAGATTGCACTGTGGCCCGCACACAACGTCCTTAATAACAACAGGCCACTATTGAATGCAGGAGGGTGACAGCAAGGCTAAACGATGGCATAACCTTTTAACCACATGGGGTGAGTTCTGCCTGCTGAGAGTTTAAAGGAAGATGCTGATGTAATGGGTGATTGGGATTGCTTGTGGCATTGTCCATATTACAATTGGTATGTTTAGCTGAAAGGTTGATTTGAAATGAAAGTGATGTGAATTGTTGTTTTTTTAATACTCTTTGTGTTATTTTAGTTAACAATAACAACACTGTTGTCAACAGCTGGCTAATATCTGTTTTCTTATGCAATCTAATATAGTGTTACTCATGATTTGGCCCCTGGCCCTGTCCTTCAGGCTCTACATACTGTACTGTTAGAGAAAATCAGTATTGATGCTTCAAAATGCTACAAATGCTACTTTGCAGTACGTTACATAATCTTTTTTAACATTAGTTTTGATATTTGCACGTGGGCCTGTCGACAAACCCAAGTGAAAATGTACTGAGTTAAATCCAGAAAAACAAATTCCTTTGAAAAATGACCCATCCAGGCTTATGCTCAGGGTGCAAATATACTGCGTGATGCATCAGCACTTTTCTGAACATAGATGCCATAGTCCAGAGTGTTCTCATGGCTGGTGTAACAGGCCCCACATTCCCCTGGCTCTGGTGGAGTACTTTTCCTTCTGATATAGAGCAAAGCATCTGATGTATATGATTTATTACATTAATTTGTAATTGTCCTCTATCAATGTTAAGAAAATGAAAAATTATAGCTAATACTAAGTCAATTACTGTGTCAGCCACCCACAAATAGATACATCAATGCAAATTACTATATTTTTGTCAAATTTAAGTGCCATGTAGCTCTGTTTATACTATCAATGTAACTTTCCATGAAGCATAAGAGCAGAACTACAAAGTGCCCGAAGTAAAATACTACATGCTATAAATAGCCACACACTAATTCCTGTAGAGATGAACTTTTCTACTGGCTTCATGAGTCTTTGATTGACATTGCTCAAGGGGCAACACATTTGACTATTAGCTAAATATTTAGTTTTGCATTCTGTTTAAATGTAACATTTATATTTATCTAACCTGTGGCTAGAATCGAAATTAAGACACAACCAGTGTTATTTTAGAATTATTTGTATACTATTATAGTATTTATTAAAAACTTAAAAAATGGCTTTTGTATTTATATTTTTTCGTTGAGATTTTTTTCATAATGCATGTCATTTTTTATTAGTTTTAGTAAATATTTATATTTATATATTTTTTTATTTCAGTTTTAGTTTTAGTAATTTTAGTACTTCAAGTTAAACCTATTAACTATTTATTTCCATTTCAGTTTTTAAAGATACGTTTTCATTTTATTTCAGCTTTATTTCAATTAAAAAGAACTATTTTTAAAACCGTTTTAGTTAACATAAAAAATGGTTTTGACATTGATTCACAAGAATTTATGTTCAAATCTGTTCTGCTCTTATTGAAACACTGCACAATGTGTAAAACTCACAAGCAATATGTCTAGAATGAAGACTTTAAATAAACAGGTTAGCCACACTTTATCTAAATATGTGATATCAGTAGCAAGCATATTCCAGGTGTGCATATAAAGTCATATTTTGCTAAAACAACAGCAAATATGATAATCTACTCTAAATGACACTCCACCTTTCACAGATGTATTTTGGTAAAGGATGTTCATTAACATCAAACTTGCCCAGAGTTGCCCACTGGTTCCAGGTGCTACCTACAACTCCCTCCCCTTTGGCCGATTTCTGAGTGAAACCCACCTCAAGGGCCAGCTCCTCAATCTGAAACTGTTTCTGGGAGACTTTGCTGGATCCTACGTGCTCATGGTAGTACACCACCATCACGTCATATTTCTTCATCACAGACTTGTAATTCTTGACATTTAGGTCGTGAACGCGGTCCTTTCCATCGTACTCAGGGATGTCCATACCTTTCTGCCCCCATGACAGCTGCCCGAAGGTCAGAAGGAGCCCAAGGAACACTAGGTTCCACTTCATGATTCAATACTTAAGAAGGGAAATATGTAGTTCCAATGAATTGAAAACAAATTGACTAATTACGTCATAAAATTAAATTAGAAAGGACCTGTGATCCCCGCCACCCAGATCAGACAAGACCAAGTCCTGAGGCCCCCTGTATGAAACCCCTACACACGGGTAAAAGAGACGAGTAACAGGGTCAAGAGCGTTTTAGGGGGTGGGATTAGGTGAGTGCATGAGAGAGAAAGAGAGAGAGAGAGAGAGCTGCTAAAAAAGAAAGAGACATGATTCTTCATGGAGTGAGCCAGACTAGAGATTGGAGCAAGGCAAAGTAGAATTAACCATACAGAACTTTTTATTATGACCTTTAGGGAAACAACAGAAAGTTTGTGTATGGGACAACCAAAAAATTAAGCATGAATGAAAGATTATGAAGAAGGCAATGTTATGAGATGGAAAGGAAAGGAATCTTAAGGCACACAGGAAGACATTCTCTGCCATATTAAGTGTTACACAGCTCAGATCTTGGCTAAAAATACAAGATGTAGCATGGAGACGGACGTATGGAGAGGGTGGGCGGTGGGGGTGTCTTATTTGCTGCACTTGGCTCATCCTTGATGCTAGAATGTGGCACTAGGTCACTCCAGGACGACATGGAGAGGCAAGGCTGGTGCATCTCCTTGGGTTTCACAGATGTCAGTTTGCTTTTTGGGCAATCAATTCTGGCTTGCACTTCTGTCTGACCCAGAATGGAGCATATGATACGTGCCCGACCGCATTCATGCTCAGTGTGTTTATCAGCACTGAGAATTTTTTTTTTACGGCCAACATGCCTAAACTCTGTGAGGGCACTACAGTACATGTATGCGCAAGATTATATGTGTGCGCGTGATATAGCTCAAGATTACTTTACAAATTGAAAGATGAGAGGGAGTTATTAATAAAAATCATGATCTTACATGTTCTCTTCCCTTCAGGCCTCTTTATTTAGTGGCCTGTGGAGTTAATGCCTATTTAGTCGTCAACTGGTGGTTAATGATGAGGCAAAGCAGAGCATTTGAGAGAGAGATGATGTGATGAAAAGGGGGTCGTAAGTAAAAGGAGAGTGCTTGGATGTCACTGCATATCAGGTGTTGACTGTGCAAAGCATCAGCCCATTTAGCATAATGCTTCATTAAATGGTGATGGTGTTTGATGTGACATCAGAACATTTGGAGTCAAAATTAAACCCTGTTCACAACCTAGTTTATGTCTCTGATGTCACCCATTTCTGATGATATGCAATGAGGAAAACATGTAGGACGAGAATTTTACCTATCATAAACTGATTGGATATTTACACATACACTGTGGCTATTTACTATTGGAGCAAATGGGAACACAAAAATATATTTGTTAGCTTCCATTCACCACTAGATAAGTTTACCCAGCTATGACATCTTTCACTTCTAGATGCAAAAAGGGTCAATTATATACAATGCTAAACATTCTCAACGTTTTACATGTCTGTTACATGAAAATGGCTTTGGATAATAAATATATGCTAAACAATAAGCCAACCATGCGAAAATTTAAATGGAGAGATCACCGTGATAACATTTAAGATCTCATTTTTGACCACCTGGGCAATGGATACTAAACTAATCCCTAATTCATATTTTTCATTATGGCACCATCTAGTGGTAAGAAAAATGTGATAGGCCTACAAATTAAAGACTGGAATAGAGCTCTTTTCAGCATGTCATTATACTCTCGAGTATTTCACATTGTAGCGTTCTTGTCATTTATGACTTGGTTTTGGCAAAGCCTGATTAATTAATTTATTAATTAACCTCCAGAATGCAGACCAGTATTTTGACAATTCCCATATGGACATTGAGGCTAATTCTGTTTTTGACCATTCTTTTGAAATTGAAGTTAGCTAACAGTCTTTCATTTAGAAGTGTTAGAAGAGTGTTACAAGCTCTTGGTGCATAAAGAAGATCTGTAAAGTTGCAAAGACTAAAGTCTCAAATCCAAAGAGATATTATTTATAAAAGTTAAGTCAACCACGCCTACCTAAAATGCGTGTTTTTTGAACATTAAATCATGTCAACATATTTTGTTACACCAAATACACAAAATAATGATCTTTAAAAAAGGAGCCCTTTAAAGGAGACATATTATGTCCCTTTTTACAATATGTAATATACATATCAGGTGTCCACAGAATGTGTCTGTGAAGTTTCAGCTCAAAATACCCCACAGATAATTTATTATATCATTTTGAAAATGCCTATTTTGAGTGGAAGCAGAAACACAGTTTTTGCACCTGTCTCTTTAAATGCAAATGAGCTGCTGCTCCCCGCCCCCTTTTCCAGAATAGAGCTGCTCCATTACAGCTCATACCTGCTAAAAAAACATCTGTTTTGGTTCTGATTATCATGTTTATCATGTTCATTACCATATTAATTTAAACTTCTGATATACAGTTTTCTGAGAGCACACATCCGAAGCACAAGGACAGAAAGCGGCTGTCACAGCATGTGAGTACTAAACTAAGTTTTCATTCACACACAAGTTTGTTAAAAACACATGAGTTACAAAATAGTCGGTTATGTCTGTGAAGGTAAACAGCTGGGAAATAAATTGCATGTTTATTTTAGATCTGTGTGGCAGCAGCATAATATACAGTAAATAAATCAATAAATCCACTGGTCTCTTGTCTCCTCTGAGGCTGGGACTCTAAATAGTGATCTGTGCTCATCTGTGCAGCCAAAGACAGAACAGTTAGCATGTTTTGCTCAAGCTTTCGCCATGGCATTAGAGCTGCTACACCGTTGTCGCTTGTGAAATCAAATGATGGCGCCGTGGGTGTAAATTTACAGATTAAGGAGCGGTAATATTATAATGAGATCCCTTTGCCACGTCACCAAGGGAGTGAAATCTGTCACACTCGTTTTCTCAGACACATGCAGAAAAAGGCTTACCAAAACAAAGTTACTGGGTTAATTTTTTTTCACGTTTCCTTGGTTGGTAGATGCACCTGGGACCTGATTATAGCACTTAAAACTGGGAAAAGTCAGATTTTCATGATATGTCACCTTTAAATAAATACTACCGTCTCTAGGTTACGTATGTAACCATGGTTCCCCGAGGGAACATCACAGTGGAGTCAGCTGTCTTAACCGTGGCTTGTGTACTGCAAACACATACCAGCTTCATCACTGTGTCTGTCACGCGACTCTGTTCCCCTTTCGGGCTCTGTCTTTACATTTATTTTGAAAGATGAAGCTCGCGATTATGGTAAGGGGCGTTACATTTCCGACGAGTGCTTGCGGTGTTCGGCCAATCACAATGCACTGGGTCAGCTGGCCAATCAGAGCAGACTGCGCTTGTCGGAAGGAGGGACTTTGTAGAAAACGAAGCGTTTGAGAGAGGCGGGGCATAGAGGACCTACAATAATGTACAGTATTTGAAAAATAATGTGTTTTTTGAACATTAAATCATGTCAACATATTTTGTTACACCAAATACACAAAATAATGATCTTTAAAAAAGGAGCCCTTTAAAGGAGACATATTATGTCCCTTTTTACAATATGTAATATACATATCAGGTGTCCACAGAATGTGTCTGTGAAGTTTCAGCTCAAAATACCCCACAGATAATTTATTATATCATTTTGAAAATGCCTATTTTGAGTGGAAGCAGAAACACAGTTTTTGCACCTGTCTCTTTAAATGCAAATGAGCTGCTGCTCCCCGCCCCCTTTTCCAGAATAGAGCTGCTCCATTACAGCTCATACCTGCTAAAAAAACATCTGTTTTGGTTCTGATTATCATGTTTATCATGTTCATTACCATATTAATTTAAACTTCTGATATACAGTTTTCTGAGAGCACACATCCGAAGCACAAGGACAGAAAGCGGCTGTCACAGCATGTGAGTACTAAACTAAGTTTTCATTCACACACAAGTTTGTTAAAAACACATGAGTTACAAAATAGTCGGTTATGTCTGTGAAGGTAAACAGCTGGGAAATAAATTGCATGTTTATTTTAGATCTGTGTGGCAGCAGCATAATATACAGTAAATAAATCAATAAATCCACTGGTCTCTTGTCTCCTCTGAGGCTGGGACTCTAAATAGTGTTCTGTGCTCGTCTGTGCAGCCAAAGGCAGAACGTTCCTTGGTTGGTAGATGCACTGGGGACCTGATTATAGCACTTAAAACCTGGAAAAGTCAGATTTTCATGATATGTCACCTTTAATGTAATGCATTTATGCTGAAAAATTTTCAGTGCACTCAATTCTACATCCGACTTGTTCTAATGGATTACTATAATAAACAAATCCCTTACAACATCAGTCTAAAGTACAAAGTTTACTAACTTGTGCAACCATAAGGTTTCAAAGCATTTTAACAGTGTTTGAAATTCGAAGCTAAACTGTGGAATAATCACAGGAGTAATTTGTGTACCTGAAAAATAACTGATGATGGCGGTTACAAATGCTACTGCTGATCTGTGCTGGGAGTTCAGTTCACTTGCAGAAGATTTATTTTCACCAAATGTGAACATTATTGCTGAGCTCGAGAAACTAAAGAACACAGATGAAAGGATACAAAAATTAGAAGAAGCACTAGATTAGCTTGCTACCCATTTGACTTATATTCGTTCCATTTTTTTTTTCTTTTCCATTATAAAATCAAGAAAGGAGAACAATAACTGTACCCATGAAGCAGTTTTGACTGTTACGTTTATTAATTTTTCATGATAAATAAAAAATTTAATAAAAAATTATTAGTAACATTATCATATCAATGTATATTCCGAACAGCTTTGAAAACCATAGTCCATGATTAACATGACAAAATAAGCTTGGGTCTTTCCAAAACGAGAATGAAGGTAAGTAAAAGGCATACTTTGTTCCCATATACATTTAAATGTTTTAAATTAAATATTTTATTTTATTATACATTTCACACCAGTCTGTTCGCTTATTCACAGCCAAAAAGGTTGCCTTTTTAGCTGGACTTCTGGAATCTGGAACAGGACACACTGGGCCCACTAACACTCCAAAAACTCTGGTCTACAAAAAAGTCTTTAGTAATATTGGAGGTGCCTATGACTTAAATACTGGTAAGTTCTGTAATGAGAATATCATGACAAATGCAGATTCCTGTTCACATATGATCTTCTCTGTGGCAACTTTGTACATGTACATTGCTGGTGTTTTCACAGCACCAATCTTCTATTGGAGCCTATTACTTCAGATTGTACGGTCATTCTCATGGTGGAACAACAACGGCAGTCAGTCTCTTGAAGAACGGTGCAACCCAGTGCTCTCTGCATTCTTGGAAGCCTGTCTTCAATGGTAATGCCAGCAATGCTGTTGTTCTCACACTGGAGATCGGTGATCAAATTTCTACACGACACGACGCGAACACCTGGAACATATGATCTTCTCTGTGGCAACTTTGTACATGTACATTGCTGGTGTTTTCACAGCACCAATCAAAGGAGCCTATTACTTCAGATTGTACGGTCATTCTCATGGTGGAACAACAACGGCAGTCAGTCTCTTGAAGAACGGTGCAACCCAGTGCTCTCTGCATTCTTGGAAGCCTGTCTCCAATGGTAATGCCAGCAATGCTGTTGTTCTCACACTGGAGATCGGTGATCAAATTTCTACACGACACGACGCGAACACCTGGGTTTATGATGACCCAGAAAGTTACACCAGTTTCTGTGGTTTTCTGATTTTCCCCTTGTGAACGTCTGAATCTTGTATCTCATATCCAGTGCAGGATGCAATGTGAAAATTATTGTAATGGAACTTAATTGTTCCTGTTTAAGTAAACTGCATCTTAGTAAATAAGAGGCATAAAGAAAAGGAGATCATTGGTTTTTAGTTACAGTATTTAAAGTGATAGTTCACCCAAAAATGAAAATGTAATGTTTATCTGCTTACCCCCAGGGCATCCAAGATGTAGGTGACTTTGTTTCTTCAGTAGAACACAAACAAAGATTTATAAGACTGTCAGTCTTATAATGGAGGTGAATGGGAATTATGGCATTATGACAGTTCAGACATTGCAGTGCATCATAGGTAAAAAAACAATATAAATACCGTTCAGTTTCTTACACAGACCGATTGTTTCGTGTCTTTACACATCAATGTATCGTCACGAGCCGCAGGGTTTAATTTGGTTTTGTATGTTTTTTTGACTCTCAAAGCCGTGATTCCATTCACTTACATTATATGACTCAGACTGCAACGGTTTGAGTTAAAAATCTTCGTTTGTGTTCTACTGAAGAAACAAAGTCACCTACATCTTGGATGCCCTGGGGGTAAGCAGAAAAACCATCACATTTAAATTTTTGGGTGAACTATCCCTTTAACACTAAAAACAGTGAACAAGAATAAAGGAGCTAAATGTGTATGATTTTTCTAAGAACGAGAGTAGCACTTTCCATATTTCTAGCATATCAAATGCTGAACATTTTATTAAATAAACCAAATGTGTCACTGAATTATGCTTCATTTTCATTCTTACCCCCATGTGGTCAGACACCAGCAAAGCATTCATAACAAAATGAAAATCAAACATTTAAAGCTCATGGTGTGCAGTGATGGTAAAATAGTAACAATACGTCACATCAAATTTAAAAACACTGACAATGTCACGATTTGCCAGTGTTTTAAAGCCTGCATGAGTGTTATGTACGCAAAACTAAAAAACAAAACAAATTTAATTTAATATTTTATTGAAATCTTCCTGTAGAATTATTCAGAAACAAGGTAATATAAAAAAGACAGGTAAATACAAACATAGCTGTTTCCTGGAAGCTTCTCAGCTCTCTGTAATAGAGGAGCCACTCAAGTTTCCCCCTTTTAAAATTCAAATTTTATCTTTGTTCACAGAAAAAAAAAAAAAAATCCCATTAAGACACACAGGGCAAACAGGGATCAGGCCAGTTTCACGCTGAGAATACATAATGGACATATTCTGCTAGTGAAAAATAAAAACCTCTCAGGTTCAAGTCAGAATAATTAAAAATAACTAGTGGAAGTAATGGTTTCTGTTGTTTGAAACCAGATGTTTGTCTCCATCAAGGTTGAGGGACACTTCAAAAGCCTGAAAAGATGTCATGCTAACATTAAAAATAAACTGACATCAGTGAAACTGATGTAACTGTAGTGTCAGTTATTATAGGAGTGCAGGCATCTACATCATAAGACAAATCTTTCAAAGACTGGCTTCAACCTTTCTAAAGAACTGAAAGGGCTGAATTTTGAGTGCGTGTCTCATATCCGTGGTGTTTAAAGCAAGCTATGAGTCGTCGCCATTAATGCTGTCACCATCATCTTCCCCTTCTTCATGCTCACCCTCTTCCTCCTCTCCCTCTTCTTCTTCATTCTCTCCTCCCTGGCTTTTAACCTGAGAAAGACAAAACAAAGCTTGTTAGTTTATCTGTGCAGTATCCAGCACCAATTACAACACAACCTCCATTTTGCACATGGCTGTTTTTTTGTTGTTGTTTTTTTACACACATACCTCTTCCTCCTCCTCCTCTTCCAACAAATCTCTCTCCTCCTCAGAATCATTTATCTCTTGCTCTTCCCTCTCTCTGTCTTTCTTGCTGGAATGCTGAAGGGAGGAAGCCTCACCCACTTCTGCCTTCACACTTTTCCCCTCTGAGGGGAAAAAAACACAAACTATAAATATATAACAATTGGTAATAATAATTATATATTTGTCTTGAACTATAACTTTAAGCACCACATCAGCATATTAGAATGGTTTCTGAAGGATCATGTGAAAGATCACTGAAAGTAAGCCCTATTGAAAAGTCAGGTTTTTTTTAAAATATAAGTTTTGGCAAAATGGTGTTTTAAATAATTTATAGGGCTTTCAGTCGCTAAATTTTTTTAATCTATTTATTTAATTACATGTCGATTAATCTAATTGTGAAAATACCCCTAAAAGATTATTTAAAGCTATTTTTTGTGTTAAATGAGAAAGTATTAAGTACACATTACAAATAGTAGCTTTAGAAAGAAACATTTGATTTGATTCAACAAATTTATTACACGTTCAGGCTATGAAGGCCTAAAATAAACTATGGAACATAGAACATAATTTGAGAAACATTTTTTATTTTTTGTTCATGCAATGGAAGTCATTGGTAACCAAAACAGATTTGTTACCAACAGACTTCAAAATACCTTATGAGTCATTCATTCATTCAAGCGGCTGATTCATTCAGGAATTCAGCAAATGGCTCACTTTAGGAATGGGCTTTTGAATCAGTAGGTACGTTTACATGGACACTTTTTGCTTCCATCGGAATGAATTCATTCTGATTAATGAATCCGAACTTAATGTTTACACGAACGTTAAATAAAGTGATCGGGTTGATATGCGCGTTTATATGTCACAAGCTTCTGATCGGATTTAATCTTTTGACATGCGCACACTGCATGAATATACAGAGTTTTATAGTGACTGGACACTCATTTATGACACTTTATTCACCAGGAAGAACAGCTCGTTCCGCGTGTCATACGTCATTACGCTATTTCTTCGTCACTGCACATGCGCAGTACTTTCCAGTTTCGGTTTTCAATCCGATCAAGTGTTTACATGTCCTCTTCACTTGGATTACAAAACGAATAAACCACCCCTTACAATCCGATCGAAATTTTAGTCGGATCTGGCCAATTCAATCCGACTGACGTGGTTACATGTGACTTCTACTATTCTGATTGTGCTTCTAGTCCTATTACAATCAGATTAGTAGGGTCTATGTAAACGCAGCTATTGGTTCACCCGAGTCGTTTAAAACACGGATTCATTCAGAATCACTGCGGTGTTGCTCACAGACACACACAATAGTTCAAATCATGAAGAATGTTACCAGATTTCTTGTTGTGGTTTTTCTCCATCCTGTCCAGATTCTGCAGAAGATAGTCAACCTTGTGTTTGATTTGAGCAAGCTCTCTCTTAATAGTTTGAAGGTCATCTGCTTTCACTGAAAAAACAAAAACAAAGCCTGAATGCAAGTACAAACTGACAAGCCAACTAAGGTCAAAAATGTAAAATGAGAAAAGGCAGACAAATGACAAGCAGACAAAAATCAATCAATGTTTATTTTTAATGCATTTGTCACTGACAAATTAACATGAACCCCTATAGTGAGGGAGAATAATTTTAAAAAGTCACTGACAGGTTCGAGAAGACATCCGTTGGCTGCTCTTGGATGAAGTGGAAAAGCTGGACTTGGCGCGGCGGCTGGTTCCCCCACTCACACTGACCCGCGGACGTTTGGAAGGGATCACAGCCCGTGAGAGAGGTGGTGGTGGTGGTGGAGCGGGCACACGGGAAGGGTATGAATACATTCTGCACAACACAAAGCAGATTGAAAAGTCAGCACACATTTATAAATCCACACTGGCACAGTGTTTGTGCAGATCTTACCGGTCATAGTAATCTCTCTGGAAATCATAATCAAGCTCGAAAGTAGAACTACTGCTGGAAAGATTTAAGAAAATGATTAGAGATTTTGGCAACAAAACAATTGCTAATTTAAATAAAACAATAAAATGGGTGAAAATACATAAGAACAAATGTTTTCCTTACCTGTACATATCTCCGGCCGATCGCTTTGTTGTATTTGACCTGTGAGGTTTGGGCTCTCCTGCCAAATTAATATCTGATGGAAAGACAAGGTGATTGCCCAATTAAGAGGGAAAATATTAAGATAGCCTATGATTCTTTTTAATGTACTCACCAAGCACTTGTCCAACAAACATCCGGCCATCCTCTCCTGCTACAGCCGCTCGTGCGTTCCTCTCGTTGGCGAACTGGACGAAGGCGTAGCCCTTGTGCACAGAGCAGCCAACAATCTTGCCGTATTTGCTAAAAATTGCTTCAACATCTGCCTTGGTAACCAGCATAGTGTTCAAGTTCCCGATGAAGACTCTTGAATTCAGGGACCGTGGGTCTGTCTTATTTGTGACATTGCTGGCCATCAGCTGACTAGTGCTGGGAGAACGACTAGGGCAGGAATAAGGAGGAAGAAACATTAGTATATTTCCAAAGGGAAAGCAATACTATTCCTAAATCATTTATATTCAGAAATCACACACAATATTTAACATGGAAAGAAAGTGTTGATGACTGTGACTCACTCCATGGCGTCGGTACAGCGCAGTTGTCTGTTTGTCAATGTGAGCAGGCCGAAGTGTAGATTGATCTCAGCCAAAACGACAATACCAGCACTCAACCAGTGAGCTGCACCTCCAACAGCCTAAAATTGGCTTAAAATTGAGATAACAATTAGACACATTAAAATTGGACATGGTTAGTTTGGTTTTAATCAATGCACTTCTGTTTTCAAATAGATGTGCACCAACAACTCATTGGATGCTACAAACGCTGAATTGCTGGCAATATGCAGCTGCTTTCCAGTCTTAGGATACAGTAAATTCTATCAATGGAATTCAAAGGAAGAATTTTTAAATTTTAATCTCAGATATCTTAAAGTGAAATGTTTACAAAAGCCCAAAATACAAACATGTACTTAAAGGCTACTATTAGTATACAGAGTGGTCTTGTACTGTGCGTTAATTAAAAAAAATAAAAGAGGAAATTCTTGGAAAACATTTGGCTTCATTGTTCAAAAAACTAATACAACAGACTACAGATATGATAAAATATCGGTAAATCTTTAACTTTGACCTAAAAACCCCCAGCGCTACCAGAGCTGCAGTGCTGTTTGTTTGGGTTTCTGTGCTTGTGGTCGCGAGATCACAACGAACAATACAATAGAATGTGAATGTTCGTATTTATCCCGCCGCAACAACGTGCTTTGGTTTCTTTTCATAGAAATCATTGACGCAAGGCATCGCGACTCAACAAAACCAAACACACGTGCAGAGATCCGTGAAA